CAAAACCTTCCTGCGCGCCTGGCCGCGGGGGCGGGGGGCAGAGAGCAGGCTTCCCGACGCGCAGCTTGGTTCGGGTGCGGACTGTGCCGCTGGAAAGTAGCCCGGTTGCAGGGTGTTAAATATGGCAACAGGGTCCCACGGACCCGGTGCAAAAACCCGAAAGTGCGTGGGTATCTTCAGGCAATAATGGGAAGGACTAAATTGCCTAAGTATGTGGTTACTGTGAAGTCTCTAATAATAACCCAGGTGTATTAATATTTAGTTCACAGTAACTGTGACCCGAGTCTTCACAGCTGCCATCTGCATTATGTATGTTCCATGTATATAAATAATAGGAATTTTGTAAGCATCAGCTCTTTGTCTGCCAGCCCTAATACCTTACTCTCTTCCATGTGTGTCTTAACTCAGCATGTTATAGGGAGTATTTTGATGATAGAAGCTACTGGCAGCCCATTTTTTCAAGCAAGCCAAAAATTCACTGTTATGTAATAGATCTAAAAGTTACCTCAAGCCTAGACATAACATAGAGCTGTCAGCAGGGCCATCAGAAGCCTCTCTCCCTCATCTGGCACTTCTACCTACACTGCAGGTAGAAGAGTAGGGTGCAGGGCTTCTCCTTTTCTGCCAATCCTGCATCTTCCTCCATTCTTATTACTGGAACATAATATTTGACATTAAGGACCGCAGAGAGAGATCTGGCTTCAAAATGCAAAGCCCCAAGAATTCACTCATGCTGAAATTCAGCAGTGTTAGGCACAGATTGAATTGCTTACCAAAATTATCAAAATTGAAAAGGAAATGTTTTAGCATGGAACTAAATGCGCAAGAAATTCTTCCCATTCTTCTGGGAATATTCCCATGTTCTTCCAAACACAGTTGTTCCAAGTCCAATGCATTTTATGTCACCACAGTTGTCTGCACGTTCTTCAATCCTTACTCCTTTTGAGGAGGACCCCATCATTCCGCAGGTGTTTGCTGAACACGTTTAACCATTTTTTTAATCTGTTCTTTCTAGTGTCCAGGATGAGGCCGTGGACAAAAGCACCTTTAAGGAATGCAACCAGATTGCTTTTTACAGGTAAAGAGAAGAATCTAGTGTACGGTTGTTTGTTTGGTTTTTTTAACTAGTGATATTAAAAGATGCGGGAAGTAGTTGCACACTGATTTTTAATCACAGCAATTCTGCTACTCTCAAGATTTACCTTCCAAAGTGAGCGTTCCACTCACCTGCAGCAAGCAATAATCGGCATGTTTTAAAAGGTGGAATCTTAGATACAAAACCTCTTTGGTTAAAATTCAGAAGAGTCAGTTGTCTCATCTGAGAAAGCCCTAGCAATATAGGTACACTCAGAAGCAGGTTGCTTTCCTGATGTGGATATTTCTTGAATATCCGTAGTTCAAAACAACAGAATTCTCAATAGAAACCATCAGGCTGTGACAATAGCATAAATTATTACAGTCCTGTTGAACAAGTACCTTGGCCAGAATTCAGCATCAAATCTAAATTCTAGCTCATTAGGCTCTTCAAGCTAATCTTAAACTAAGCAATCCTTCTCGTCTCATTTCTGACAGATATCTCTCCTCCAGCTTTTTTCCCCTCCCGTCCTCCATTGTCTTCTATCCAGTGCTGCCTGGGTGAAAGGAATGATTGCCCACTGTTATACCAATTAACCACTGACGTAGTGGGTTACAGTTTCAGATACTCATTTCCGTTCTGCAGGAGATTATGTTTGGAAAACCCCAAATACTATTTTGCCACTGGGAGCAGGACTCCTTCCTCTTTTCACACCAGCCCTTTCTAGCCTATTTTAACTTAACAAATCAGCAGGAGGTTGCCACACATTGACAAACATCAGATCCTGTCTTTGATATGCCTTTAAAAGAAATCCTGATTGCTCACATTTGTGCAATATCTGTTTGCAAGGAAACAAAGTCAGTTTACTAATGAAGAAATTTCCCTTTAAGGTAGCCTCCAAGACACCTGTCTTCAAATAGTTCATAAAACCTGGGCTCAGGAAGGAGCATTCTACAAACAGTTGAAAGAGCCTCTATTTCAGGGTCTCTGTCCTAAAAACACCATCGGGGGCAAAGGCTGTAGTCAAAACTCTGTAGTTAGCAGGCTTGTTGAAAAACAATTTCCTCAGTGTATGTTCAGGAGGTTACAAATAACAAGCAAATACTGTTTCGTCACCACAGAATGTAGAAGCAGGGGTATATGACAGAAAATGAAAAACAGATTATTCAGCTGAAATTTCTGGGATCATGAAAAGAAGAAGAATGTTAACTGGACAACTGAGAATTTAGTTGGACACAGGAATTAAGACTATTACTGTTTTAAAAAAACCCTATAGGGTGGTGATGGGTGACCAAACCACTCTAACATCTCATTCATAAACATGTATGTGTGCTCAGAACCATATTCATTATTTTTCTTCTTGACTTGAAGCGCTGATAATTGTATTTGAAAAAATTCAAGACAAAGCTAACTTTTCTAACAATAGTATGTCCCTCTGTGTACTATTAGCCACAACAATTAGAGAGACAAAAAATAATTTTCTGTCTTGACAGGCGTCAGAAACTTCTACATCCTGGGAAATCCTTGTATCGAGCATTGTTGGATTCAGTCATGTTAAGTGATGAGAATGTCAAATTCCAAATTATTCATGAGAGGCATAAGGTGAGATCTTGCCTAGCATAAGAGGGTGCTTACAGAAAGAGCAGTGAATATTATCAACAAGTCTGATAATACGTGCAGGTTTTGAGATTATTCGGTGATAGATATTTAAGTTACAATGCAAAGTATCTAGCCTAAAGATGTCCTTAGCGGTCAGTATTTATTTGGCAACTTGAGACTGTTCAAGGAGAGCCGATATTTTAAGAAACTTAAAAAAATCTTTAACAACTTTTTGAAAAATCTGAATGGAACTCTTTTTAGCTGAAAAAAAATGTTTTTAATTCAGAGTTTTCTCCACTGTTCCAAAATAGTAAGTTCTTTTTCTGCTCAAAGGCATTTTGTGGGGAAAAAGAAGTTTTCTTCGCATTTAAGAAGACAGCCAGGAAGAGGGGTGTCTTCTGTTTCTCTAATTTGACAGCATAGCAGCTAGCACATTCACTCAGGGAATAGGCAACCTAACCTGTCCTCAGATTATGGGAGTTTGGAACTACAGCTCTTTTCCATGCTCTAAGCATCACACTGTGTAGCTACACTGCATAAATGTATTTTCTGCCTCTCTTCTTAATCCTGACGTTCTTTGCAGTCAGCACAGAAAAAGGAGCCCATTTTTTTGTCTATATTTTAAGGTAGAATTAAAAATGAAGGCTCTGTGGCTTCCTAGACTATTTGGAGGTTTATACCAAGATGGCATAATGTAAAATATTTTGTAGGAAGCAGGATCTGGTACTCCAGTTGAATCTTTTCTCTCTTGCTTACTCTCCCTCTGGTCTTTTTCCTATGAAAGGCCCTTTCATGCCTTTGAAGAGAGCGGGGCTGACTGGCTTCCAGGTAGAGGAAAAAGGTATCAGGCCAAAATTCTTCAGCCAGTTTTGTGTCTCATGGGAGGAGAGACTAAGAAAGGAAAAAACAAGAAAATCTGACTTGTGGTCACAGAATTAAAATGAGTCATTTTCTAGGGGTTGGAACAGTGACTTCCCGGTTCCCTGAACTGTAAAATAGCAAGTTACTGTGGGTAGGACAGTATTATACATTTTCTTTAACTGTCTTTTTGACACAGTTCATCAATCAGCACCGCTGTGAATACTAGTGAACACAGAGCCCCGATGTTTTTGCAAAAAGCCCGCATCTCAGTAGTATCCCACTCTTACATTGACAACACAGTAGTGAAATTGTCCAAACTTCAAGGTTAGTGTATACTACCCCCATTTCCCGTGCTGTTTGTGTAGAGAGCTGCAAAATGCTAGACATGAGGGATTTGAAGATAAAGAGTCCACTTGAAAAGAGTTGCTTCTTCAAAGGGGAGAAGTAGACTTAGCTGGTGTAAATTCAGATGGGTGATGATTGTTGCTCAGCAATGCTAAAGAAGATTAAGTCAGAAAGTAGGCATGTTTTTTTTCCCAGACAGTAAGTGTTTGGTGATATTGAGTTAAAAAGTTGGTATTTGATATCACTACCAGTTTATCTGTTTGTTTGCTGCCAGGTTCTTCTACAAGTAGAAATTTGTCAAATAGAAGGCAATATTTTCAGGCTTAAAATTGATGAGGCAGCTCCTCTCAAAGCAAGATACAAAGTTCCTGATGTTCTTATAAAGGAACCTACCACCCAGAGGTAAGTGATGGGAAGATGGTTTAGCACCTTAGTAACTTATACAGCTTCATCTGCAACAGTGTTTTCCTTCTCCCTCATTTGCGCTACACTACAGTTATCTCTCTACAATACAAAGTTGTTATAGGAAGAGAAAATAAAAATGCATGTGGTTAATTTACTTTCAAAAGTTCTTGTTAAATACATAGGAGAAAGTTTTGTCACCTACATAAGAAACTTGAGGCTGTTTGACCCAATCAGAAGATAGCTTCCTTGTTATGATGCATCATTTTTACCTAAGGCATTACCTATTAATGTGAAAGGAATGCAATCTCTGGATAGTTCTGTAGCCACCTGTTGCACTGCACAGTGAACCCTGAACACAGCATGTATTTCTGGGGTTATCCAGAGGTTTTTATAATGTGTGCAGATATTCTCAGCCCATCTTTTTTTTTTCAAATTGTTATTTAATTACAGTGTATTTCACGTGCTGATGATTGATATAAAGCTGTTGTTGGTTTTCGTTTGCCAGACTCTTTATATCCCACAAGGAGGCAGGTATTTTGGTGCTGTCAAGTATTAATGAGGACTACAAACTTCAAGTCACAGCAAACCCCTTCCAGATTGAGTTACAGTCCAAGGGTGAGACTGTTCTGAGCATGAATTCCAATGGATTGTTGTATTTTGAGCACCTACAACCACCTCCCAGTGATAGGTACAGTATCTGTCTATCACATTGTGGTATGTACTGATTGTGCTGTAGCTGAAGATAAACCATTCTATGGAATTGCAACTTCTGTGATAGAAGCTCTTATGCACTGAAATCTGTCTTCTCTTTTACTTCATACCAGTAAGTACAATGATGAAGTTTTAACAAAGAAATTCTAGATCAATTAACTGCAGACTGTTTTAATCCCTTGCAGCAGCCATGTGCAAAATGCTAACCTCAGGTAATGACCAGTTCTATAAAACACTAACATATCCCGGTACCCCTTATCTTTCTTGGGAATGAGTGATGGCAGTATGATGAGGTTATTAGTTTTGTCTCCTTTTATGACTAAACCTACTCTTTAGGTAAGTTTTATTCACCATATAAGCTCTTGAAGTAAGTTTTGTTCAACTTACAATGTGCCATACAGCTGCAAGATTTCACAAATCAGTCCCACTGCAAAGTGCTGAAAGGGTGAGAAACCACAGTGCAGGACACGTAATGACTAGGAAAAGAGCATAGCAAGCATCTCTCCTAGAGAGCATTATTTCAAAAATTGTAATTAACAGTGAGCACTTAACAGAGAATAAGGGAGAAGTGAGGATCTGCTGAGCAGGTAAAAGACTGACACAGATAGAAATAAATGTGAAAGGCCAAGGAGTCAACCTAACTCACATATGGAGTGAAGGTTACTTTAAGACATTGAATATTAAAATTATTTGCCAGTTAGAGCTCTCAACTATGACATCAATTTTCAGAATAGTCACCACCAAAACTCTTACATAATGTGTAAGGCAATGCATAATGCTATGTGAATTTTCTACTTTAAATCCTTCCTTACATTAACAATAAACTGATTGTTTCAATGTATTTGTTTTCACTAGAAAACCTACAGCAAAAAACAAGGAGGAGGCAGCAAGTGATTCCTCTAAGGTAACCCATGCTTTCTCCAGTTCCAGCATGAATATTTTGTAGAAAAGAGAATTGATTAATTTGAATCACATGTTCCTGATTTCTTCTGGTACTATGTTTACAAACATAGCCTAACCACTTTCCAGTGACATTCAAAAAGGACCTGGTATTTCCTATTGAGATACTTTGCAAATTTGTAGTTGAATAAAGGTTTATGTGTTTTACCAGGGCTGTAGAAGGCATCCATCAGGTAGATCTGGCTCAAAAATATTTTTTCCATGGCCTTTTTATTTAGAATTTCTTTCTCTTTTGTTCTCTCTTTTGGAGTAGATGTGTAAAAGGGAGTTCTGTGGTGATATTTGGTCATTTTTCAAATTCCCTGTTCATTGCAAAGAAAATTTCAAAAGAATGAGTTCTGTTTTATAACAGTCCAAAAATATGCCTCCACATATATTCATGCTTAATACAGAAGTCAGATTCTCTCTGAAAAAAGAGCAGGTCCTGGCAGCGCATAAAGACACATACCAGTTTTCTCAGGAAGCTGAGTTATGTCCATGATACAATTTTAGCCTCCTGTAGAGCAGATGGCTGCTTACTCCACCATCCTGTTATAAATGGCACGAGATATGCTGCCTTCAGCATACTTGTGTCTGAACTCTGGGTTCTGCCAGGGAGCGTGCTTGCTTTGGGGGAGTCACACAGCTGCAAGAGGCCACATCCACTTATTCTGGGACGAAGGTAGAAAACCAGGAAAGACGCTGCAAAAAGTAGAAATTCTAGGACAGCAAATGGCAGGGCACAAGGCTCAAAATTTGAAGGAGGCTAAAAGTGAGAGTCTGGAGAGGTATTTTGTTGTCTGAACCTTACCGTGTAGGGGAGTGGGTTGGTTTCTGTTTGTGTTGATTTTCCTGTTTGGTTCCATCCATGCAATCTTTGCATTTCATAGTCGCGTTCAACATCCAGAAGAAAGACTTTTTTTTACAGTGAGCACAATCATTCACTGGAACAACCTCCCCAGGGATGCGGTAGAGTCCCCATCGCTGGAGGTTTTCAAGATGCAATTGGATAGGGTATGAGATAATCTCATCTAGGCTCCCTTTCCCACAAGAGGTTGGACCAGATGACCTTTTGAAGTCCCTTCCAACCTGGCCTATTATATCATTCAATGATTCTATCCAAGACCTCAGGTATTACTTTCATGCTGTAGCAGAGTGCATGTGTGCTCCACTAGCACGTCAGTTCTTCAGTGTAAATTCCTGCAGCAGGATCTGAATTGTGTTTTGGATTTATTTATGTTAACCATTAACCATATTTGGTGAAAAAACAGTTACTGATGTAGAAATCTCATGTGAATAAACATATTTTTATTAGAAATCCGTTGGGGGAGCAGTTGCATTTACTACGGTTAGCTATTTCTGTTTATGCAGGAGAAACAAGAGGATCTAAGTCTCTGGCAAGAGAAATTTGGCAGCTTCCTAGACATCAAAGCTCATGGTAAGTCTCAGTCTAGTTCTGAAAACAGCTTTACTGCATTGTATATACCTGTCTTTGTTCATATTTCTGTCTGCTTTCTGTTTAGCTGTTTAATGTTTATCAGTGTCTCGCTCGCTCCCTTTAACTTGCATATCAGATATCAGTGATGGGTAACAGATTTGACAAAAGTACTGGAAGTAGTCATAAAATTTCTGTTCAGGAGGGGAGACATTAAATGTGACCCATTTCGGCAGCTCACTGTTTACCATTTCTGACACAGCATAACCCTATCTACCTCAGCTGACTGGTATATAATGCATTATTTCCCTTTTATTTTCTTTTTTTTTTCTCATTTAGTGTCAGCGCATAACATTGATTTCACTTGTAGTTTATTTTCACGACTTATCAGAAATCATGGTATCTAAGCATTAATAATTGTCATAGAAAAACTCTTTTTAAGTGGGGCACTACAAAAGGAAATAATGAGCAGACTTAAGGGATAAGAAAAAGGTTATAGAAACCCGTAGGTCAGTACCTCAAATACAATTTAAATTATTAATAATTTCCAAAATTTATGACCATCTGCTGTCTGTCCAGTTGTATTCTGCATTAATTGAGTTGGTTAGCTTTGTCCATTACTACTATCATGCACACTTTCATACCAACCAGCACTACCCACTAGCTGCAGTAGGGAGAGGGAAGTCTGAAAGGGCTCCCTTTTGGTGACAGGGGCATCGTCAGTTCACAGTCCAGACACAGAGGGGCAGGAAGCTGTTGCCCTTGTTGTTCGTGCTGTATCTGATGTATTAGGTCAGCATCATGTTTTTTTCTGTTTCTTTGTGTTGGAGGAGTAAAGTCCATATGGTCAGGTTCTGATCCTGAAGCCACTGCTTGTCAGTCTACAGGATCTCTGATCACCTGCCAAAAGTTCCTCTGGATTCAGTAATGTGACAAGATGATATCACTGGGCAGAGGCTCTCGTGCATGCTACTCCCTTGGCTGAGGCTGAAGAGAAAAGCAGTAGAAAACAGGCAACTCTGACTCTAAAGTCCACTCTGCTGTACCACTGTGCTGCAAAGCTTGGCTTGTAGGTACCGGGATAGAAACAGGAGATAATTTTGAGCAGTTTCACTACAGAATAAAGAAGTGACCCACTATTACATGTATTTTTTTTCTATTGAAGTGATTCATTTTATCTTCTTTAGCAGATCAAAATCAGAATAAATACAATAAAATCTGTTTAAAACATTACCTTTATTGTACGTAAGTAATAATGAAAGTGCAGTTGAAAGCAAGTATGAAAGAGCTAATTATTAAAACCTCCTTTTTAATATTTTTTTCAGTTAGGTTGCTGTGCTCTGTTGCTTTCAGCTAAGCCTGAGAATAGAACTCTGTGGTCTTCTCTTTTAATGTAATTCCCACAGGTCCTAGTTCTGTAGGCATGGACTTCTCTTTACATGGATTTGAACATCTTTATGGGATACCACAACACACTGAAGCACTTCTTCTCAAAAACACCAGGTAAAGGTCGCAGATTGCTAGTGAAAGCAGTATCATTTTTGTAGAGGAGAGCTATAACATTGTCTTAATAATTTAATGCAGACAACAGCTTGAGATACGTATATTATGTAGCATATATTTTAGTTTAATGACACAGCAAGCTGAATCATAGCCCCTGTCCGCATGGAGTAAGTTGTTCTGCTTTCCTTTTCCACTCTGCAATTTCATGAATGACCCCTTCTGTTCTCCCTCAATTTTCCATGCATTTTTTTTTTCAGAATTGCAGGATTGGTCAGGTTTCAGCAGAACTCTTAAAAGAGCAACTCAATGGGAGAGTTCAGAATTCATATTTTAGGACATAGAGCAAATCAGCAGTAGTCTCACTGGCAGCAAAAATGTTGTTTGATTCAGATAGCTAGGACCAAAGCAAACAAGCAGTAATCTAGGCTGTCCCCATTTCAGCTCTGGATGCTAAACAAAAGACCATCATACAGAGTGTTCACTGAATTTAGTGGGCTGGCAATAGAACTAAAATTGGCCTAGTGCAGGATGCTTACATATAACAAACACATATGTCTGTTTGTCCTAGTGATGGTGATGCCTACCGGCTTTATAATTTGGATATTTTCGGCCACAAGATACATGACAAAATAGGCATTTATGGTTCAGTGCCCCTTCTCTTAGCACACAAGCCTAACAGAACTTCAGGGATCTTCTGGCTGAACTCTTCAGAAACACTGGTGGATATTAGTACAAAGGCAGTAGCTGAGGTGAGTTGCTCACTTTCCTCAGAATTTAATAATGAAAGAAAACACTCCAGGGCAGGGCCAACAGGAACACAACAACATTATTGGAGATTTATCTTTTGCTCCCTAATGAAGAATTGTCAGTCTCTTCCTCCTGTCCGCCCTACTGCTAAATTTGTTATATTAAACCATTGAAAAGAACAAGAAGATGACTCCTTTCAAGAGTCAAGTTATAGAACTTGTATCTTAACAGGCCTAGAGGAGAAGGCAGAGAGGAAATACGTAATGTTGGAGTGGAAAAAAACCTACACAGGTGGATGTATCAGGCAGAAAAAAGGGTGGACAAAAATCTTGGCAATCTCTTGGATTTGAGGAATTTTTCTGAGTTTTTAAATTCTTGGAATTGCCACATGTTTCTGCTTAGCAGGCTCATTCTTCTGTGGAATGTAATTGACCTTCAAGAAACATAAAATGTTCAGGAAATTAACTCACTCAACTCCTGAAACATAAGCATAGGAATTCTATTAAAATTGAAACACTGAAAAAAAAATCTTGCTTTAATCCAGCACTTCCTTATATTATGTGGTTAAAATTACTAATTTTCCTTATTACTCATGGTATAGTTACAGATATTACTCAAAGATCCTGCAGAAAATGCATAGTCTTTAATTACAGAAAAGCTTTAATTACTTTGCCCCTCATTACCCATTTTTCCTCATTAACTGTTACCCTGTATTTTGTATAAGCAGTATGAAAGGTAAAAGATTTGTGAAGGATAAATAAAAAACATGCAGTATGTATTCCTAATACCCGCCAGATACGTATTAGTGAGTTTTGTGGGTTTCCATCGTTGCTCCTTCACTGAACGAAAGTTTGATAGAGAAAGATACTCAGTTTTACCTTGGTTTCCTTCAAAGCACACACCTTCTGGATCTGCTGCAGAGACTGCTAAGCAGAGAGCAGTGCCTCTAACTGATGTGCGCTGGATGTCAGAAAGTGGGATCA